GTGTGTATGTGTGTGTATGTATGTATGTATGTATATATATATATATATATATATATATATATATATATATATATATATATATAGTAAATAGTGATCAGCACTCTCAGGCTTTAGAAGGTTAAAACTTACAGTTTATTGAAAATCCATTAAAAGATCAACGTTTCAGTTCCTATCTGGAACTTTCATCAGGATCAGGCATACAAAACAAGTAAAAACAGTGCACTTATATACCTAAAGTATAAGTGAAATTAGACAAAAATGACTTACCCCTGTGCTCAGAGTGGTGGGTGTGGAGCCCCTGGCGTCTACCATCCTTCCGTGCGCATGCGCGGACGTGGCCCCGCCCCTACGTGCCGTGATGACGCCACGCGTTGCCGCGGCAACGCTAAAGTCACATGGGGAATAAAACCAGGAAGTGACTAGTAGTGAATTGCATGTGTATCCGGTTGCTATAGCAACCCGGCTAAAACACAAAACCTATTAAATTCAATAGAAATCCCTCTTTACAAGTCAAATCATCCTGTGAAAAAAAATATTGAGGATGGAAGATATGAAGTGATACTAGTATGTGTTTAAAGTGCATAGGGAAATATACATACTGAATCTATTAGTTAATACCCTTATGTTAGCAAGTGAAGACTTGCCATAAAGTACCAATATATATTATAAAGTGCTAAGACCAGTGCTATAATTTATACTGGAGGTAAAGTGTGTTGTAGTAAAGTGCCATTAAAAAAAAAGTGCAAACAGTGGTGTAATCATTGCTTAAAGTGTAAAAAAGTGCTCACATGTGCAAATATACTTAAATAGCAAATCTATGTTAATCAATTATTCCCTGGTATATAAATGTATCAAATCATTAAAAACTAGATGATATAAAATTACACATAATAAAAACATAATTCCTATTGCTTTTTAAGGGGATCATAATTAAAGAAATGAATGATAAGAAATCATTTCATTAAGTCCTCCAGGTGCAATCGTGTTAGATTGGAAGATCCACTCTGTCTCTCTATTAAGGAGAATTTTACCACGATCCCCCCCTCGCCTGGGTATAGGGATGTGGTCTATTGCGACAAATTTCAAAGAGGAAAGTGGGTGTTTCATTTTTAGAAAATGTTGTGCCACAGGTTGTTCTGAATGTCCATCCCTGTATGCCACCCGTATTGCTGATCTGTGTCCCCGTATTCTTTCACACAGTTGAGTTTCAGTTTTGACAATATAGGCTAACCCACATGGACAAGTTAATTTGTAGACCACAAATGGTGTTTTGCATGTAATAGTGTTTTATCTTAAACACCTTATTATTATGTGGATGCTGAAAGGATTTTGCTGGAGTCATATGGCTGCAAGTAACGCACCCTAAACATCGGACACTACCTCGATGTTGAATATCGGTTTCCTGATTATAGCTTTTATAGGATCCGTGTGTACCAAAATGTCCTTTAATGTTTTGTTTCTCCTGAAACAAATTAACGGGTTTTCTTTAAATACTTTGGGCAAGGTGTCGTCTGTTGCAAGCATCTTCCAATTTTGTTTGATGATCTTAACTATTTTGGGTGAAGCGTCATTGTAAGCCATTGGAAACACCAAGGTTGGCTTTTTGGTCCGTACGGCGGTAATGGCCTTTTGTGCATCTTGTTGTGCTTTTAACAACTCCTGTCTATAATAACCTCTTTCGAGGAATTTTTGGTTCATCTCTTCCAAAAATTATCCCATACAAGTATTTATATGTTTGCACATAAATTATTTATCCATGCATTCAGAATGTTTTATATAAATATTCTAGAATACAAAAACAAAAACATATTGCTTACTTAAATATTCTGTATTATGTTTTTTCTCTGGAGAAGACATACATGGATTTTGGTGTTTACATGTAAAGACATATTTATTTTATTATAAGAGATTTCTATTATCAAATGTTACTACTAAAATACCATTAATGACGAAAGAAGGGTCAAGTTGACAAAAAAATGGAGAAACAGCAGAAAAAATAATTACAGACCAGCATTTTATTGAGGGTAGCTGATGAGAGTATTGCTGGCCCCAACAGAGACATGATGGATGGAATTCTGGTTAGAGAAAGCAAAATGCAATCTCTTTCCATTAAATTGAGATTCAACAGATAAGTGCTCAGAGCTCATGAAAAACATTCCTGATGTGGATTGTGTGCTGAGCATCAAAGATCGAGACAAACTTAACTGATAGAAATGAGTCCCGTCTTGATGCTTCCTTATTTACAAAGTCATTTTGACAATTACATATTGATGTGGCATTATATTATTTCTATATTATCTCTAATTACATTTTACAAATTATTTACCAATAGTAATATCAAGGTACAAAATTTATAAAATTATATATACTGTTAAACTAAAAGTCACAACTGTGAATAAAAAAAACAAAAATGTATATTCTATGGAATTGAAACCACTGGAAACAAAAACCCATTGAAAATCATGTATAACTTTTGCCAATGTATTTTCATCAAATGTTCCATTATCTTTTAAATTTGTATTAAAAATTTATCAAATTACATCATAATTCAGTTCGGACAAGGCAAGGACAGGGCAAACATTGCAAATGATGATGAAAAATAGAAACATTGTTTTTTTTAATCCTCTTCCTAATATGCTTCTCAATTATGCTTCCTTGGTAGACAGCCACTAGAGCTGGAGTTAAGCCTGCAAGGTAATAATTGCAGTTTATCAAGTAGTTTGGATGCCTATAGTGTCCCTTTAATACCACTAATACCAATACCTCTTTTGTAATAACTTGGGGATTATTTAGGAGAGGAGTTTTCCTCTGTTTAACTGTTGGGAGAATATGTGCAGCATTTACCATGCACTTTTGGTACCAGAAAACCAGTATGTGACACAAAAATAAGCATCTTGAAATGCTATCAATTTTATGCACTCTTAGCTTAGATTCCTTACAAATCAAAACTACACCAGAATTCACTCTCAGTGAAGAAATCTTAACCTTAGTGGAAAGCAGGGAGCAAAACATATCTCAATGCACTGGACTGGAAATTGTGTAGGATAAGCTGTCTTCTTTAAAATGTATTAGGTTTTTGTCCTTGATGAAAGTCTTGTAAACAACAAATTTGAAGAAATGCGTAATCTGGTTATGATAAAGGATAGTTGGATCCTGAAATCCATGTATTACATGACTAAGAATAGAATAAAAAATAACCCTGCTGTGATAGATGCGGCATAGTGGAAAATAGCTTATTGATGGAATGCAAGTTGTGTTTGTATAAAACAGATGAAACTGAAGAGTGCTTTATAGTTATAGTAACAAACATCTCTCACTTTCGCTGTGAATGTATCCCGCTGTAAGCTTTTCTTACTGATTGTGATAGTGGTCACAACTTCAAATAAGAGCATACAGATATTTCTATTGTTGTTATATTCAATACTCAGCATTTAAGTATTGCATACCTTTTATGAACAGTTACACACGATATAAAAGGCCTCAATATGGGTTTATTGCCGCCCACATACAGTAGGTACAATTACACAGAATGTCTCTATTATACAATGCTTTACATACAGCTTGCACAAAGCACCAATAGTTTACCCTCTATCCTTAAAGGGACAATCTGGGCACCAATACTATTTTAATGCAAATGATACATTTTTATCTCATTAATATGTTGTATTTATTTGCATTTCCAAATCTTTATATTTTTCATAAAATAAATTAATGTTTTGCAGAATGAGCCTGAACCCCTGACAGCTGTTTCTTTGCATGTTGCAAGTGCTGAAGCTCAGTAGAGATTCAGTGTGAGTTTATGGGCAACATCCTGTTCTGCAATGTTTCTAAAAGCAACATTTCAACCATGAATATATATGTGTAAAAAGGAAGGGGTTAATTATCTTTTGGGTTCAATAGGTTGCTTCTGTATAACAATTATCTTTGACTCTAACCAAGCATCATAACATTTTCCACGATTATTAAAAAAACATTTTTTTTTTTTAATGTGAACATGGTAAAAATGGTCATAACCTATTTTCAGCCTGCCTGTTGCTTAGATATATGTATTATTCAGGCCTGGAGCTATCAGTGTGACCATTATTTTTTTTTACCAAGGATGTCCCTCATTGCTGGGTTAGGCTTCTCCAAGGGGACCAAATGCGCATACCCTAAGAGCGCCGCTATTGCATTAGGACTTCCCCATAGGAAAGCTAATTTTTTTTACCCAGGTTGTCCCTTAATACTGGGTTAGGCTCCTCCTCTGGTCCTCCTCCGCCAATGTCATTAATTCTTTGTAGTTTGTCTAAGAGGTGTACTATGAGACCTGAGCATTTCTCTAGTGCTTACCCCTCACCTCTCATTCATCCCACATTGCTAAAGCACTCGTGAATGTTACAAAATGCAACGCTATCACATTTAAAGCAAGAGAAAGAGATAAGTGCATTCACTGGTGATGTGTACTGTAGCCCATTGAGCAGCGCAGCTAAGGGAAATGGGCCTTGACATGTCTAGTAGACAGGCATAGAAGGGATGTAGTGTGGGGGATGGCTAGTGTTATGGGAGGTGGGGTTTTGGCTAATGGAGTATATATAGTGGCCATTTTAGATTAGGGGCCATCTTAATTAATCCTCACTTACCTGTTTTGTGCAGGCTGTGTGGTGTCTCTGTCTTGTATCTTGCAGGTGCTGCTGTTTGAAGAATGGAGGAATGGCTGGCTGGTGTCTGAGCTGGTGTTTCCTGGCTCCAGGAGCTTCTGGAAGAGGCCCTGGTCCATCTGGGCTTTCTTCCCCTGGGTCCACAGCAATGGCTACAGTGCTTCCTTGTCATCTCACGTGGAGAACCCAACAGTCACAACGCTTGAGCCCCAGCGCTGGCTCCACCAGGAGGAAGAGGGTGAGCCCGTCCCTGGATCTGAGGCCAGAGGCTGCTGTGAGCGGCGGGAGTGAGGGAGGTCGTGGCATGGTGTGTGTATCCCTGGGAACGAGGCTGCACATTTGGGCCACGATGGAGAGGAGCATTCAGATCATGAACAGGATTCGTCTGGAGATGGCGAATGTTCGGGGGCGAACACGGAGGTTGTCGCACTTTCGGGCAGCAAACAGGCACGTAAGGGAACAAGCGAACGTTTGGGCATAAACAAGTGAGGTCTGGATCTGGCAAATGTTTAGGCTGCGAACACATAGGAGGTGAATCGGACGAACCTTCGTGCCGCGAACAGGACTCCAGTAACCTTCGTACGGCTGTACATTCGACCCGTGTTTGCGGGAATGGTCGAGAACCCAGCAAATTAATGGAGGGGGAAGTTCAGGAACAGCAACGGCAGGCTCTGCAGCAGGCACTTGAGGCTCTGGAGTACTGTTGGACGTGTAGGAGCAGAGGTTCATGCTGATAGCACCCCAGGTGAGTCGTCCCCCATCCTAATGGCTCACATGTCACAGGGCAACAAGCGGGTTGTGGGTAGGCCAGCATTAGGCACCCGGGCAATGGCAGGGTCCCCAATTGCTGGTGAGAGGAGACAGGCTTCTCCCAACCTTGGCAGACCACGGGAGTGGAATTTGTCCCCAGGGTCAGCTCCCAAGTGTACATCCAGGTCGTCAAGTGTTGGTCAGGCTAGCCTGAGGAAGGAGCTGGTGCCTGGGGACCTGAGTGTGGAGTCAGGTAGGCCAGCATCCACACCTGTGAGGGCTTGGAGTGGGCAGTGAGGTAGGTCCCCATCATGGGTGGGCACAGACCGCCACACTCAGGACGCACACGTCAGGCTGCAAAGAGGTACTGAGAGGCAAGGGACACATTACAGGTCTTGGAGTAGCCATAGCAAGCAGATTGGCTACTACGGCAGGGGGTTCCCCAGGGTTCCTAGCTGGGAGCTTAGCCTGGGATCCCCTGTTAGGACTTTGAAATGCAGGCTCAGCTGATTAGGCTCCTCTAGCGGGAGTTCTCAGGGTGGATACAAGGAAGGGACAGCGAGGAGGGGGCACAGCCCTAGGGGTCTGGATGACAGGTGCAACAGGGATAGGTCACTTCCCAGCGAGAAAGTAGGAAGGCCATGACTCAGTCGGACAGCCTACCCAGAGTGTATTCTCATTCAAGGTCACCGAGACGGTCGCCTGAGGTCTGGGTGAGACCCTGCGATACAGAGTTATGGCTGGAGGCACCATTGTGCCTTGGCTTGGACGAGGTATGTCAGGATGCAGCTTCATGGCCTTCAGCGGCAAGAGGTTCAAATGGTGAGTTGTCTTCAGTTAATCCTTCTGGGAATCTTTTGGAGGGTCTAAAATCTTTTCTGGAGTCATGGAGAGGGGATTCACATAGGAGCATTAGCTTTGAGCAGGTTTGGGCACCGAGGCAGGAGGTTACTGGGGCAGGTGCAGTGGCAGCTCTGGTAGCTAGTGGCAGCTCTGTGGGCAATATGGGTTTTTTCTTCAGCAGCGGTGGCCACGGTCGACTTGGGGAAAAAACGGGCGGAGCTAGTTGTGGGCATTCCAGAGGCAGCTTGGCAGAATGTTCATGCCTCATTCGTGGGACCGTTGGGTTGTCACCTTAAACCAGAGGTGAAGGAGCAGATATGGAAAGGGGAAATCCTGGAGATATTTTCTCTTCTTCCTCTTGATGAATACTTGGACATGAAGGAGGAGGATAAAAATGATGCCAAGAAGGAGGAGGAGGAAAGATGCCGATATTGTAAAATCCCCAAAACGTTTGGGAATTGGTTGAAGGCATTTTGCATTTTGGCGAGCTTTCTGGGGGAGAAATCTCCCAAGTGCTGTTCTCAGCTGTTTTGTTACTTGGATGGAATTTGGGAGGAATATGGCACGTACGAGGGCCTTGCCTGGTGGTGGTACAACAAGCATTTCCGACAGTGACTTTTGGTCAATCCGGGTATGAAGTGGCATCAGATGGACTTGCTACTTTGGATGAAGCTCATGATGGCGCAGAAGCTCATGATGACGCAGAAGGCATCTCCATTTCAGTCCGGGGCCGGCGCGGGATCTTCCTCCACCTCTTCAGCCGTCCAAAAAAGTGGTCCTGCTTGCTTTTTAACGAAGGTCAGTGTAAGTGGAGTGTGGCATGCCATTTTAAACATGAATGTTCAGGGTGTGGAGGTGCATGGCTACAATCACTGCTTCAAGAGGGGT